AGGACACAACCCTGGATCCCAGCCTGAACAGGAGAAAGGAATGACCAACAAATGTGGCTTGGACAGAGCTGAAATGTTCCCCAGAGCTGCAGATCCTGGACCTGAGAGACCTCAGAGCCTTCACAGCAATTAAGAGGCCTSTTACATAACATTGTTTATTTACAAAGGACAGCCAAAGTCCCTTTTTCCATGGCTCAGGAGGGCAGGAGATCAAGGGTTTGCCCAGAGCTGTCAGCAGGAACCATCCAGCCTTGGTCAAGGGCTGCTCCAGGCAGAACCACGTGGCTTTTCCTCACCTTTCCCGGCCAAAACACGGCTCCAAGCAGCAGCTGGAAGTGGGATCAGACTCGTTTGGGGCGACTTTCCTGCTGGGAAACCCAGCATGAAGAGTTTAGGAGGGGAAGGGTGGATGGAAAGGGAAGAAAATTGAGGCAACTGCACTTTCTGAACCTCAAAGTGCTGCACAGATCTCTGAGTGATGGTTGAACTGGGKGGATGCCTTGAAAACAAAATTAAAATGTTGTCCTGAACTGAAGGGGTGCCTTGAAAATAAAATTAAAATGTTGTCTTGCGGTGCCTTGGCTTTCCTTCCCCACCCTCCCTTGCCTCGCCCCAAGAGCAGGAATTCTCCTGCCCCTCTGCACAGCCAAGCCATGGTGATTTTTTTTTCTGCCAACAATTTCTGTCCAGCTGTGTGCACACCCCAAAATCCCCCAGGTGATGTGGTTTAAATCTGCCCAGAGGCTGAAGRCAAACAGGTGAAAGCTCCACCACAAATGGAGAAGGTTTTGCCAGCCCCAGGGACACAACATCCCCTTGGGGTGTGGGACAGCCCAAGGAAACACCTCCTTGACACCCAAAACCAGCAATTCAGGCTTGAGCAGACCCAAGTTAAACCCCACTGGGGGTTTTGGGGGGAAAAACGGTCAGAAAAGGATCAGGGTGGGCTGCTCTGTGCTCACCTGTGCCAGAAGGGGCTGAGCTGCTGCTGAAAACCCCCGAGTTATGGGAGCCCCATCCGCTCCCAAACCTTGCAGTGCCTGCYCCTTCCAGCACTGTGGAATCAAACAATCCTGACYTGGAAAGGACCCACAGGGAYCCATCCAAGCCCAGCTCCTGGTCCTGCACAGGACAGTCCCCATAACCCCGCCCTGTGCTGAGAGTGGTGCCCAAACACCGATTTATTTACAGAGGGCGCGGTGCCCAAATCCCGGTGCTCCCGGGCATTCCCTGCCCCACCCGAACAGCCAGGGGCACCGAGGGGATGCAGCAAGGATCTGCAGAACCTTCTGGAAAACATTTGTGTCCAATTCCTGCCGAATTGGGTGGGGAAAGTGCCAGCCCAGGAACCTGTGGGCAGCACTCTGAGCTGCTGGCACCAGCAGGAGAACAAGGCCGAGCACTGGGCTGTGCCCTGAGGAAAAGCAGCGGGGAAAAGTTGGGATTGCCCTCTCCRGAGCCCAGGAAAGCAAAGGGATGGCTGCCCTGGCTTGGCTCATGCTCCTCAAACCCCTCCCATCCCAGTATTTTAGGGGTTTAAAACCTTGGCTAAATCCAGGTGATCTCGGTGACAGCTGTGCCCATGCCCCTAACAAAGATCTGGCTTTGCCCAGGCTTCCTCCACTTTAAACCTTCCTTCCCCAGTTTCATCCTCCTGGCCACTGGAATGTCCAGGTTTGTCCCTCCAGCCCCAAACCAGGCCCCTGCCTGTGCTCTGAACATCCTGAGCATTCCAGAAATGGAATGGTTTAGCTGGAGGATGCTTTAACTGGAGGATGATTTAACTGGATGGTTTAACTGGATGTTTTAACTGGAGGATGGTCTAACTGGAGGATGGTTTAACTAAAGGATGGTTTCACTGAAGGATGGTTTCACTGAAGGATGGTTTAACTGGAGGATGGTTTTATTGAGGATGGTTTAACTGAAGGATGGTTTAACTGGAGGATGCTTTAACTAAAGGATGGTTTAACTGGATGGTTTAATTGGAGGATGGTTTAACTAAAGGATGGTTTTACTGGAGGATGGTTTAACTAAAGGATGGTTTAACTGGAGGATGGTTTTATGGATGGTTTAATTGGAGGATGGTTTTACTGGATTGTTTAATTGGAGGATGGTTTAACTGGAGGATGGTTTAAGTAAAGGATGCTTTAACTGGAGGATGCTTTAACTGGAGGATGGTTTTACTGGCGCAGAGCAGGGAAATCCCTGAGTTCTGTGGATGGAGGTGGCACAGCCCGGGATTCCCGCTTCTCCTGGAATTCCTGGTTTGCTGTGCTCGACTCTACGATGGGCTCCGAGCTCAGCAGGAGCAGAAGGAGCTGCGCAGCCCCAGGGAGAGGCAGCAACGCCCCGGTGCCGGGGCAGGGGGAGGATTTCCCGGGTGCTGCGGGCTCTGATCGCAATGGGATCATCCCTGGAGCTCTCCAAGGATCCCAGCCCAGGAACACAACGCTCAGCAGCCAAGAGTGGGGTCCAGCCATGGCACAGAGATCGCTGAGGAGGGATCTCACCCGAGCTTTGGGGGACATCTGGGATTCTGGGCATCACCCCGAGGCACCTCCCAACCCCACCAGCCGGAGCTCCCCGGGAAGGAGGAGGGCGAGGCAGCAACTGCCCAGCCTGGGCTGAGCTCAACACACACAGCAGCTCCGTCCCAAATCCACCCCCAGCCGTTGCTCCAGAGCCAGCAGCCCCCAGCCCCCAGCCCCTATTCCCAGCTCCTTCCCAAGCTCTCCGTGCCCCATTCCCAGAGCCCCTTCCCGAGCCCCCTGTGCCCCATTCCCAGAGCCCCTTCACAAGCCTCCTGTCCCCATTCCCAGAACCTCTTCCCAAGACTCCTCTGCCTCCATTCCCAGCCCTTCCCGAGACCCCGAGCCCCATTCCCAGAATCCCTACCCGAGCCCCCT